GTGCTAGAATAACTGAATCTCCATATGCAAAAGGAATGAAAGTACGCCTGTCCCTAAACCACAGAGAAACAGCAACTTGAGAGCCCTCACAGACCTGTGGGTAAGAGCAGAAACTTCTTGGAAGCGCTCTATGTGTCCACTGCCAGATGGATAGATAAGGAAAATGTGCCTGCAGTACAGTACTACTCCGCCCTAAAGAAGGATACACTGGGTCATTTGTAGGAAAATGGATGAGGCCATATTGCCTGAGACCATAATGTTAAGTGAGGTGAATCAGACACACAGGCTTAAATATTGCTTGCTTTCTCTTATATGGGAAACCCAAAGTATAAACAAAAGGAAAACTAGGAGACAGGTGATAGGAGGTAGGGAGATAGATCTTTCTCACATGGGAATGGGATCAGGAGATGGAGTGGGCAGGGCAGCAGCGGGGATGAAGAAGGATCCCGGTAACACGGATGACAAAAGCAAACACAGAAAACGGGGCTTCATCAGCATCCAACACTGTAAAGGGTGCAAGGCAAAGCGTGCCACCAAGAATATGAAAGCAGCTACCAGCCGGCGGGAAACGTTTTCCAACCGTGTGTCTGACAAGGGGTTGGTGCTCAGATTTAAAAGAAGTTACAACTGAATAATAAACAAGACAAATACTTCATTGAAAATAGGGAGTGAGTGTAAACGGATGTTTCTCCCAGGGAGAGGGGCAAAGGACCAATAAGCACAGGGGAAGATGCTGAGGAACTGGAACCACAGAGATTCAACTTCCAAGACACGACGAGAGCAAAGACCTCAGCACTGCCAAGAACAGGGTGAGCGAACCCTTCCCCGCGGCTCTCCGAGTGGACATGTGCAGCCCCTTGGAAAAATAGTCTCACAGTTCCTCAAGCTGCTAAGCAGTGTTACCAGGTGACCCAACAGCGCCACTCCTAAGCCTGCACTCATGAGAACTGAAGGCAAAGGGCCACACGAAACCTGACAGAGATGTTCAAAGCAGCGTTCTCGATGGCAGGAAGGTGGGGACGACCTGAATTCCCACCAGCGGATGACCGTGAGATCAAATGTGGCGCGCTATGTCCACACAGCGACCGTCGCTTGGCTGCAGGCAGGCGTGAAGTACCGAGACACGAACGCTGAGTGAAAGAAGCCAGACACACAAGAAGCCACATTTAAGTGAAATGCACAGAGCGAGTCCACTCACAGAGGCGGAGAGAAGAGTAACGGTGGGCCGGGGCTGGACGTGAGCAAGGTCTGTTTCAGGGCGAAGGGATGCAAATGTTTTAAAGTTGACTGCTCAAGTATTCACACAACTCTGTGAGCACAAGACCAACCACGGATTTGTACCTACACGGGTAACCCGCTGATACGTGAATTCTGCATCCATAACCCATATTCTGTGTGGACTATAATATGTGAGGAAATGCATCAGCACCAGAGTAATCTCAGAAACACCCACACATGTGCAGCGCACAACGTATTTAAGAACAGGGGGTGACCTCAGAAAGCTGAGAAAATGCTTCCTCAGTTTCTCCTACCAGAACCAAATCCAAAACGTACCTGTAGAGTGCAGACCAAATGCAAGAATTGTCTCTGTTTATTAGAAGCGGTTTTAAGGCAGAGAGCCGCTGATGCGGCACAGCCAACTCCACATTTCAGGCTGATCCTGCATTTTACTGTCACTATATTAAAATCGATTTTATGAGCAACTGCATACTAGTTTGAAAACAGCTACTATTAAAAAAATGTTGTAATGCCTTCTCATAAACCTATACGAATCTGAACATGAGCCTTTATTGTGAACTACATGAGACTCAACAACCCTGCATCCATTTGGGAAGCTCAGCCTCGGATATGAAATATTTATGTCTCTCTGGGATCTAAATTTAACGAGTGTCAAAACTTCACAAATAATTGATTATTATTTAGAAATCTGATAGGGTATCTTGTAACCTACTACCTGTAAAGCTTTCCATCTGAACATCAAATTAATGTCTTAATCCTTAAAAATCTTTATTTGTATGCTTTCCTCATAAAACTTACGAGATTTAGGAAAAAATAACTGCAGAAGGGCTATCATCAAAACCATTTAAAGCTCACAGTTCAGGGCGCCGCCATAGCATACATCACCTGGATACAGAGACTGCTCTGCAATCTGTGCCTGCTAAGAGCAGCTCTTGCAAAGCCAATTAGGTATTAGCAGAGGTATTCTCCGAAGGAGGCCCATAAACACTGTTCTATGGCCCTGGGAAGCTAGCTCCGCAGGAAGACAGAAAAGCACGGCAGACACATTTCCACAATGCACCGAGAGAAGGGTTAGCATTAGATCTTTATGTCCTAATTTCAGCACAAAGCCAGACATCCACTAGAATGGCAGGGGCTGCGCCTCAGGACGCCCTCCCTGGGCGACAGGTAAGTGGGAGCAGAAAGGAACCCAGAATACAGATGTGGGTGCAGCCACACACCTGTGCCCCTAGAGCCCAGGACATCCATCTTGCAGGGAGGCTGTTTTTCTACCTCCTCCTGCATGGTGGATCAGAGGCCAGGGACCTCCATCTGTGCTAGAAGACCCTGAGGCACTTTTTCAAGCCCAAAGCCATTACTCTGAGAATCTGGCCAAGCTCCAACTCAGGTAATTACACTCTGCTTCCTAAATTTGTCCTGTTGTTTCAATTAGGTACAACACTGTTCGTTTTCTTGCCTTTGCAGGAAGAAAAAAGAGAAGACATTCTTGATCTCCGCAGTCTTACGGACACTACAGAGCAGGCAATGTGACGTGCCACGAGTTACTCTGTCTGAGCGCTGAAGTCCGAGGCGGCTGCTGTAGGTTAAGCTGCCCATGCGGTGATTTTCAGAGCTGGGATGTAGACATCAGAGACAGCGACCCCCGGATGGGACGGGACAGCTGTGTCACAGTGCCCCTTGGGTGACAACCGCACAGGCCTGCTCTGTCACCAAAACAGGGAGCCATTAAATGATCTATTCAAACTGGTGGGATAAAAAGGAGCGCAGAAATTTCTGTGAGCGTTTATATTTTTAATTCTGTAGCTATAACCGTTCTTTCATGATTTGGGTCGGGCTGTCTGCAGAAGCCCAATGTAGGAACTAGCCAGTTTCTCTTGATGCCAGGGATTCTAAAAATAAAGCAGGCTGCCGTCGCTCCCATGGCCAAAAATTTAAAGCCTGACAATATCAATTTTGGGCAAGGATACAGGGGAAATAAAACTTCCATGCACTGCTGGTAAGGATATAAAACGGTGTGGGCACTTTCCCTAGCACTTTGGCAGCATCTAATAAAACTGAAAGTACGTCTCGCTCCACCCTGCACCACCGCCTGAACAAACCCCGCTGAGGCGCGGGCACACCACACCAGGCTACGCAGGCAGGGCACTAATTGTTTATAGAAGAATAAAATGTAGCGTATTTCTATGATGGCATACCATGGGTTGACCTGACCTAAAAGATGTATTACTAAGTGGTAGGGAAAAAAATGAGAGAGCTTGGCACATCTTATGTGTGAGTTCCACATCCGTGGATTCAACCAGCTATGGATCAAAAATATTTGAAAAACACAAAGTGCTCCTGCCCTGAATGTGTGCATTCACTGCCCCTTCCCACTCCCAGCTGTTCACAGCACCGACAACGCCACACAAGTCATCTGGAGAGGGCACGGCGAGTACAGAGGATGTACGCCGGCTCCGTGCAAACACCAGGCCGTGCTGTAGGAGTGCAAGCAGACTTTGGGACCTGGAACCAATCCTCCCAGGTTACCAAGGGATGGCTATGCACACACGTGCCGGCAGCTGGATCCCATTCATTAGAATCTACAGAGGACACACTGTACTTGTCAGTTTTTATATATAAAGTAACGGGTTACAGGAAACGGCACATGCAGACATCTGCAGGGTTTGCTGCCAGCATGGCAGGGCCTCGGTAAATGCTCAGGGAGAGCTCGCTGCACAGCGGAGTGGAAAAGCCACAGCTGACTTCCTGGATCCCGCTGACTGGGAGGAGGGAAGGGACCTGACTAAGCTGGCCCACCCGACTATCCCATCTGAGCCCTGCATCGAAGGCCAAGGATGCAGAGGCCCAGGCACGCTGGAGGACATGCAGCTACTGAAGCCCGGGCGCCCTTCTGAGGGTCAGGGGCCCGGACCTGGATCTCTGCCCTGGCAGTGCCCCTGGGCAGCCTGCACAGCTGCGGGTTTGGGGCCTGCCCACTGTCTGAGCCTGGACCCTCCGTGGTTCTGCGATTCCATTTGCCACCCAACTCTCATTTCCTGAAGGCTTTTCCTGCTGACAGCGGCCACGTCCTGAGGCTGGACTGGAAACTGTGGGGACGCAGAGCGCGTAAGACCAGCCCGCTGCCACGCGGGCCGCTGGGCTGAGGAATCGGGGCTGGCCACCTGAGCCACCTGAGCTCTTACGGGAATGGTGACAGCTGTTAAGGGTTATTCACTTTAGGCGGTCTCAAAAAAGTGTGCATTTCTCATCCATGATAGTGTTCTAAAGTACTAAGTTGTAAAAGCTGAGAAGCAGGTCATGTCTGAGGTGCCCTGGTAATGCAGGCAAGTGCCTTGCACCAGACAAATTCCAAGCCTGTTTTGACACTGGTTTTTAGAACTATTTGGCAAAACTAAGGAACAGTGGCAGAAAGATATCTGACACAGGAATGCAATATGCTGATTCCCATCACTGACTGCTGGGCTCCTGTCCAAAGCTAGGGCAACAGATTAGCAGGCTCTGCAAGGATGTCCGAGCACAGTAAAGTACTCCTTTATCTCCAGTCCTGATTTTCATTTTAAAAGGCACTTGAGATATACGCAAACCCTGCATCCGTACAGGAAATGCACATTTGGATTTCCGGGCCGGCAAAGCCCCACCTGGAGACTCACGGGGGCCTCTTGGCAGGAGGACCGCACCCCGGCTTCCAGCCCCTTCCCTCTGCCTGGGGCGTAAACGTCCCCAGCGAAGCACCCGTGCGTTTAAAAGCAGAGACAACTTACTACATGGATGGCCCAGCACCTTCACTTCATCAATGGCAAGGTAGCCTTGGTGTCCAGAGGTAATCACTTCAAAAATCACCTGGAAAGGTAACAAAGATTTGCATTACTCCCTCGTTTTGTCACACTTGTACCAAGCATCACCTAGAAACACGGCCTTCTGTCACTGCTGCTTTCCCAGCCAGCAGCCACGTCCCAGAAGTAGCTTTATTCTCGCTAAAGTACTTGGTCCTTAGAGCGCCAGGGTCTCCCTACCTTTCCCATTCATTCGCGCTTCCCACAGGTTTAGAGGTGCGCGCACCCAACACCTGCCGGCTGGCTCTCCAGGCCGCAGACCGCCGAGATTTCAGACCCCAGCCCAGCCTTCCGGCCGCCTCCTCTCAGGTGCGTCACAGAGCACCTGTCTCAGGGACTCAGCGTCCCGGGTGGGGGTGGCATGGAGTAGGACAGAGATCTGGACCTCGAAAGGGGCTGGGGCCTTGAGATCACAGAACTTAAACTTAGAAGAGAAGACGAGCCGTAAGCAAATCATCCCACAAAAACAATCTGCATTCTACCGTTTTACTATATGTGAAATGTACGCCCCACACACACACTGAGAACTTTTTCCAACCCTCAGGAAGGATACCAACGTTTAGGTTCTTTTATAGGACAGTTCTGAAGGTGACTACTTGGCCAGACTGAACTATGGCAAGTCCTAGCTTCTGTACAAATGAAGAAAAAGGGAAGAGAGGAAAGGAAAGGAAGGGCTCTGAATGAAGACGACCAGGGATTGAAGAACACAGACCAAGAGGCCCTCTCCAAGAGCTGACAGCTGAAGGACACCAAGGAGCTAATGGTGCAAAGAGGGTAACACTCATTTCATGGCATGTGCAAAGACCCTGGGGTAAGCATGGCCATGGTCATAGAGTGGGGAATCAGGACCTAAAGGTCTGCTATGGCCAGGTTACCGAAGACTCAGCTTGTAGGGCACAGACACTAGGAAAGACACACCGTCAGTAATGGAGAGTCAAGTGTGGTGGCACAAACCTGGAATCCCAGCATTCTGGAAGGCTGAGGCAGAAGAACTGCAAATTGTAGCCCAGCCTAGGGAACTCAACAACTTAGTTACCTGTTTCAAAATAAAAGTATGTCCAACACCTTTCATAGATCTCCAGAGAAACATGCTGAGTAAAAAACCCAATCCAATCCTCAAAGAAGACACACTGCATGGTTTCATGTGAGTAACACCTCGTCATGCCAAGACTTTGTGGGCAAAGGACAGAATAACGGCCTCTGGAAGCCGGGGACAGCAGGAGAAGGCCAGGAGGGAGCAGGAGGGCTGCCGCAGGACAACCCTGGGGACTCCTGACATGCCGGACCTGGGCAGCATCTGCACTGTGGTGGTGGAGACACAGAACTACAGAGGTGACAGAACTGTATAGACCTGAACACACACACATCACACTGTACACACACGCATGCACATCCACACACATCACACACACACACACACACACATGCAGGAGCATGAGTAGAAACTAAACTGGGGATGTGACACCCCTGCAGACTGCACCGACGTGAGCCTCCTGCTGTGTTATTACACCGCAGATCCGAAAATGGAGCTGGGGAATGCGCACACAGGAAAGGCTACTGTTTTCACTGGCTGTGGGTGACTTGAAGGCTACCCTCCCAAGACCGTCGGTTTACAAAAGCAATATCATTGACAATTTACTGAGCACATATGTCCCACGCAGTATGCAGCCGTCACTCTATTATTTATAGTTTGTGGAAAAAATTCACGAAGGATCCCATGTTCTGAAAAACAACTTCAGATCTAAAGCAACTGTCCCCACACCAGAAGTCTACTGTGAATAGGATCTCAAAACTCTGTTCCTGAATGTCACGATGTCTTCACCACACAGCAACGCTCTGGGCAAAGTGCGAAGTGGAGGGAGCAATCAGCAGAGCCCACGTGGAAAGCGGGGCTTCCAAGGCCGCGGGCACAGCGGTCACCCCAGAAACTCCGGCCGGACCAGACAACGCCGTGTGCTGATGCGCGCACAGCCACACATGGAGGGCAGGACGCTGCGGAAGAACAGACAGGTGGTGAGGCTCTGGGCCGTTCCTCAGTGTGCTGTCCACAGAGGCCGGGAGGTGAGGGTGCTCCTGCCATGGGACCGCGCCGCCTGGCATCGCCACTGCTGAGGGCTCAGCGGGCCACAGGGGCCACAGGGACATCCAGAGTGGGAAGGGAAAAGCGTCCCCGAGGCCTCAGAGCAGAGCCCTGGACGACGGGACAGCTGGGTCCTGCAGAGCCGGAAGCAACGATAGGAGGCGTCCCGGGTCACGCGGGCTGTGTTGATCGAAGGGCAGCTGCAGGGCCAGCAGGGGCGGCCAAGGCCACCACAACCAGTCACCCCAAAACACTGTCACACTGGTCAGAAAAGTGGACTTTGAGCCGGGCTCAGCAGCACATACCTCTAACTCCTGCCACTTCTGAGGCAGGAAGTCTGAAGTCAACCTGGGAAAGTAGCACATCCCTGTCTCTAAATAAATAAAAGGGCCTGGCGTGCAGCTCAGTGGTGGGTTTCCCCTTGTTCGAACCCCAGAACCTCCCAAAAAAGCAACAGATGAGTGGATAAAGAAAATGTGGTATTCACACAGAATGAAGTACTACTGCGCCGTAAAGAAGAATAAACCCGAGGCATCTGCAGGAAAATGGATGCACACTGAGACCATACTGTGAAGTAAACCAGTCACGGGAGCTTAGATATCACACGGTGTCTCTAAACAGCACATTACAGAGGGATAATGAGGAACAGGGACATAGATTTTTTGAGAAAGGGAAGGGGAGCAACAGACGGAGGGAAGCGGGAGGCAGGTGAGGAGAGTGTGAAGGTGTGAGACGCGCACAGGCCTGCTCCCCCGGGGCAATGGCACCATGGCACACGGCAAATGGGTACTAAGAAAAGCAAGAATGAAGGAATTCCGAAGGCCGGCCCCAGAACACCCACGGGGACGGTTTCCCGGCACCCCTCTCCCCTGCGCACACCTCCGCACATCGCCCTGCTCTTGCCGGTGGGCAGACGCCCTCCCCTCCACGAGTGGGCACTGCACCTGCAGGACACATGGATCACAGCACACGAAGGGCCCTTTCCTCCGGACTGTCCCTCCTACCTACAGAGAAGACATGGTCCTGGCAGCCTCAAGGGCAGATGCTTCCGGGGGAAGCACCTTCTCCTCCTTCACAGGGAAGGGATGCACAAAAGGCTCACACGGCCTCAAGGGATGAACCCGTCAGCACATGCCAAAGAATCCGTAGTACTGCACTGAGCCCCGTCCAGGGCTAGAGGCCGACCACAGACCGGAGCGGTGGCCGCACACACCGACCATGCTCCACGTGTGTGCACAATGACCTTCGTTCTTTTCTGCCCCTTCCCTCCTCTCGCTCCTCTCACTCCGTCTCTTGTCCAGTTCCCATCTGCAAAAGATGTACCTCCCTGTGTCCTGTCACCGACTACTTTGCTGTTTAGTTTACTTATGCTTTGGGTTTCTCATGTAAGAGAAACCGTGCCGTATTTTGATTAGTGAAGAGACCTAAATTTCAAGGCTGTCCAGCAGTCGTGGCTGGATGGCTAACTCTGTTTTGAATGCGCGGCCCTTAAAAACTTACTTTATTGTTTCTTACAAATACGAGGTTTAAAGCAAGCAGCCCAGCAGATGAGGCCCATCTAATGGGTTTCTTAGAAAGATTACAGGACCCCATAAAAGCTTCACGGTGAGCTCTTACTCTCCGGCACGTTTTCCACTGTGCATTCCTTTCTATCCAGTGCCCTTAGCAGGAAAGCTTCCAAAGCAAAAAACAGATTTTTTTTCATCTCTCTTTGTCCAGCAAGGGGCTACTGAACTACAGGGTGAGCACTGTGCTAGTGAAGTGTAACAGATGCACGCAGAGCCCAGCAGGAGCACAGCACGGTCTCAAAATACCGACAGCCAGGTCCAGGAGAGGCTGAGGTCAGAGCAAACAGTAACAGGGTGATGCGGCAGCAACATGGGAAGGCAGAGACTGATGTGTGTCATGTTTGTTTTTATTAGACACAACCGAATATAGTGAAAATCTGTATTGGAAGGCTTGGGTTTCTTTAGGGAACTGAAAGTGATTCATTTTTCTTTTTTAAAAGTAATTCAGTAAGCAAAAAGTGTGTACAGTATGTCTTTGTAAAGGTAATTCTATGTCCTAGGTGTCTTTTGTATATATTATCTAGTTTTCTGCAGCTGACCAATATGACCGTCCATTCCATTTTAGGGATGATGAGGCTGCTTGGGAAGGTTAAATAATTTTTCTAAGGTCACACAAGTAGTAACAGAGTGAGAGTACAATCCTGAATTTACCTCCAAGTTTGGATTCTTCATGTTACCAAACTGCCTTCATTACCAAGTATGACAGACATAGAATATACTATATATATTTTGTATAAACTGCATTAGTCAGCTTCCCCAATATTGATATGAAATACTCAACAGCCACAGTCTAAAGGAGGAGAGGTTTAATGTGGTTCACGGTTTCAAGGGATCCAGTCCATGGTATGCTGGCACCAAGGCAGAAACATCATGGCGGAAGGGATGGTAGAACAAAGCTGCTCAGCTCGTGGCAGCCAGGAAGCAGAGCAGGGGAAAAGCACCGAAGAGGACAGGGTTAGGGATGAGAAACAGATCCCAAGGCCAGGCCTCCATGCCCACCCAGACACACCCAGCAGTGTGCTCCACTCATTGCTGGGTAGTCCCCAGGCCAATCAAGTTGACACAGTCAAGCTTAACTACCATAGAACTATACAACCGCAAATCCATACACATTCACGTGTGTCCTCTAATGTATATATTCTTCCGTTCTGACCAGATTTAAGTAAAGGACATAGTCATGATGCATTTGACGCAGAAACGCAGATGCAAGGAAATTGTATGACACAGTTTTTACAACATACATTTCAAGAGCTGGCAAACTATTGCCCATGGCCAAATCTGTGCTGCCACCTGTATTTGTGTGGCTCCCAAGCTAAAGACGGCTTTTATACTTTGCCACGGTGAGAGAAAAATGAGAAG